CTATTTTCAAAATAAAACTTTTTGTCATATAAGCATGTGGTGGCTGCAGGCGTGTCCTTTGAACATTTTAGGTCAATTACAAACTATTTTGCAAAATTTGTAGGCGATATCTGCGTTTCCGCTGGCGGGAGAATATTTACCACAAATCTTGCAGAGTTACGTAAACAGACAGATAGGCAGACGAATAGGTGGACGTGTTTAGGTGCTTTCAAGAAACTGGCCAAGAATTTATAGACTTTGTAGGCTTTTTGAAGCTTGTTTCTGCGCGTTAAAAAAGTATTGAAAAACCAATTAATCTTTAATACACTATAACATTGGGTAGGCGTGGTTAATTTGCACAAATGCTATAGCATTGCCCTTAGAATTTGCCTTCAAATTTTTGTTCCTGTATTTGCTATAGTTTGAGCAGTGAGCAAAAGTCCAATTTTACATCGCTTTTGAAAAACAGAGGTGTTTCCTGTTTACGCGCTTCTATGGGGATGTCGTTCGACCGACTTGGCTCATTCTCGCTACGAAACTGTTTTTGCCAAATTTGAAGTCGATAGCTTCACTTTTGCGGCCAGCAGAATGTTTACAACAGACACCGCGCAAACGGACAGACAGACATGCTTAAATCAATTTAGAATTTGCACACGTTTTGATAAAATGCAAATACCCCTCGTCCTTCGAGGTGACGCACTCGTATCATCTGAATGCAGTGATTGTTCGATCACATTGATTGAGTTTTTTTTTTTTTTTTTTTTTTTTTTTTTTTTTTTTTTTTTTTTTTGATCATACATTTTCGTGAAGCATAAGGTATCAATAGGAGTATTATGAACAGATTCCTGACATAGAAGAGAAGAAAGAAGCGAAACAAATCCCTTTGAAATAAGAATGCGACTTTAAAGCATTGCTAACATTTAAAATTTCATTGACTTGAATAACTTTATTAAAAGTAACATCAGAGGATTGCTGTGCATTATTTTAAGTCACACGATTTTCATATTTACTGTTATGTTGATGTTACTCAGCCTGTGAAGCAAAGCAGTTTATCACCATAGCAATGATTTTTATATTTCACAATTCTGTTTGCACTGTAAAAGTCAGTTGCCAAACTCATTCCTTCATATTATTTCGTATAGAGCATTACCTCAGCAAGATAATTCTTTTCACAGTCGGTTTTTTGTTCAATTTTCTAACGCAAACAAAAAAAAAAAAAAAAAAAAATAAAAAAAAAAACTTATTAATGCACTTTTATCTTCGCTTTCAGCATTGTTTTCATTTCGTGCTTTCCGTGAACTTTATTAAAGGTTAACGTTTGAGTTAAAGGGCTTTTAAATAACATTCAGTTTATCGTTGATAAAAAAAAAAGAAGATTAAATCGTTATAAGAGTAGATTTGTAATGCTTTAAATGCATTTTTATTTTTTTAAGCAAAATATGCAAGACATTTTGACATAATTATTCTTCCTTAAAGTAGGCAATAAGTAATAAAATGAAATTGAAATTAAAATATATATTGAAATATGAAATTTATTATACATAAAATGGTAGTTGTGCCTTTTGTTTCTACAGTTCTATTCTTTGGTTTCAAAATTTCCTTTTTTTTTCACTTTTGACCTTTTCGCAGCGCTATCAATCAACTTATACAAGTGTTTGGCTTTCATTTTCCTTTAGCTTCACACAAATGCAGAACAGTTTAAAAAATGTTTCGCGATAAGCGTAAGAGAGATAGGATGTTTGTCAATGTATAATTAACGTTCATTGTTATTTAATAAGTACACATCGCAGCACTCACACACAAATTATATGCTTCGCCTTAATTCTTTGCGATTTTTTTTTTTTAAGGTAGAACTTATAACTTGAAGGCAGTTTGCAAAAAAAGCATTGCCTGCTGCCATATTTTAATTGCTATTATAGTTTTTTGTTTCCTTTCTTTTGTTTTTGTAACAACACAACAATGTATCTGTATGCGAGCTCTATGCTGTAAAGTAGGGTAACGAAAGGAAGAATATTAAAAGGACTGAAGAACTCTTGCATATTATTATTATAGATTTTTCATTAAGCCTGTAAGGAATTTATAAACGCGTTCGATGTTGACACTGCTCTCATCTGCGATTGGAGTCCAGAGTCGCAGAAAAGAAGTGTTGTGCTAAAATCGAGGAATATGATACCCTCGTAGACATACCTAAAACAATCGCAAAACAATAAGTTATAATCTATCGCTAACGTGGAACTTCATGTTTGCGGTTACCCAAGAATACGATGCCTGGATTAAAGTTGTGGGTATTCAAGATTTAAGATTTTGTTTTTACCGCGCTTTTTATGTTTTACTTTTTCGCAGTAAATACTTGAAACTACTAAGCTACAAGTTTTTTTTGTAAACCAACCATCGTGGAAATAAATTATTTGTTTTTATCTAAACATCACTTGACATTAACTTTCGAGAAAGTTGAAAAACAAAAACAACATTTAATATAACGAAATTGTTATTATTAAATTTATTTTCTCGCTTTCACGATGCATAAATCCGAACACCGAGACACCAACCGACCGTCGCAACAATGTTAAGTAATTCAATTTATTGCCGTTTTATGAGATTTTCTTCCACCGGAGACAAAATCTTATGCAACATAACGTTAATTTTCCTATAATCAGTTCGATTAATAATTGTAAGTAAGGTAAACACATGAATGCTCGAGTTTAATACGTAAACGTGTGCAACCTTTGTATATATTTTGTACGTCATCCTTAAGATAGGCCATCGCTTAATTATGTTTTCTCTTTTACTATTATTATTATTATTATTAATAATTTCGCCAGAGAAATGAATTCTAAGACTAAACTCTTAAAAGCATTAGCATCTAAGGCTATCGGCTTTTATTAAAAACACTACCGCACTTGAGATTCGAACCCACGACCATTGAGTTGCTAATCGAGATTCCTCGTCTTCGGCCACTCAGGCGGATTGTTTTTTATTCTATTTTACATGTTGCTATGAAATCCTACCGAAATACCTCAAAATTACGTCCTGTAGATTAAAGACATGACAACAACATAGACGAACATATAATCTCATCGGTTCCGAACCGAATATTGCAGTAAATCCTTGAACTTTTTGAAAATTTATACTTAGCAGCGATCTTTTGAATGTTTTGCTCTGTTATGGGTAACGATGTAATGCTAAGTAGAGCAATTTTCTGAAACTTTGTTGACAATATAATTTGCACATTGTTTTGGAAAGGATTCATGCAGTACTGGTTTCATTTGCTCGCCCTATTCGATTTGAACAATTTTTTCATATCAAGTTTTAACTAATTAATATAAAGACATATTTTATTTATAATATTTTTTAAAAAAAATTCTAACAAAGTTCTATGTTAACTATATTTTGATTTAAATCCTACCAAGAGTTTGTCCAACAGAACTTTGCTAATCCGCTTAAACGATGTCTTTTAAAATGTTTGGTTAGTGTCCTTGATAGCGATATTTACGTATAATGTCACCCGCCCCGCCACTATACTGTTAACTATGATTGTGTCCCTTGACTAATTTCGCTCATTTTCAATATCAACTTGCCTGAAAGAATTTCCACTGTATATATCAATTATGAAACCAGTATCTTTATTTTTGCCACCAAGCTATATACATATATGCGATGGATAGACGGCCATACAAGCTTAAATCACTTTAGAAATTAATTCTGAGTCTTCAAAATATGATTCCGATATATTTGCCGATCTTAATAAGTTCTGGGTGTTGGCACACATCCGCACAAACTTGATATACTTTCGTACCACAATTGGTGTGGGGAGGAAAAGCTTGACTTATAAAATAGATTATGTGTTACAGTTTACAAAAAGTTGACTAAGAAGAATATTATTATTGGGTAAATGACAATTTAATATGAATTTTATTTGTAATTTAATAATTTTTGTAAATGACTTGAGATTTGTTCTTTTATGGAAGGAAATCTTTAGTCGAAATGTCCCAAGGCAAAGTTAGTATCATTTTCAATCATTTATTTTGATATATATTTTAATAGGGATTAGAGGGCATAGTTACGCAATACTCGATAGGCATACAATATAATTGGTTGGGAAATAATTTTACTTGAAGAGAATATTACTTGTAAGATTCAGTTCAGAATTTCTATTTCAGAAAAAGGTATTTCATGGCATTGAACTGTCAAATTAGATGAAGGGAAACGGCAAGGAGTTGTTTTACGACTCAAAAGAATGGCTTAATTCTTCTCGCTATGCTTCTCATGACCAAAATTTTCTTTTAATATATGATCAACACATTCTTTGGACGGGCTCCAGAATTCTTAGGCGGACTTGTGCGATTTTTTCATTAGCATTTACAGTTTTTGATTTTTGCGAACATTGACGTTCCACTTTAGTTACCTAAAATGTTGCCGGAGTAAATGAGGTTTTGAAATCCTTGTACACAACGTTCAGTTGTCTTTGGCTTTTGTAGGCGTATTGCCTTTGAAAAGCAAATACTTAATGAAAGCCCCTTTGCTCAAAACTTTCCACTTTCACAAAATCACTCACTCATTGATTCATTCATTCAAGCGTTTGACAAACAACAAAAATTGCCTAAAATATTACTGAGTACGAGTATCAATATATTTACAAACATATATGCCATCCTGTCATCTTTATATTGCGGCCGGAAGCTTTTAAGACAACCAAGATAATAGCTTAAGAATTTTAATTAAATAATAATTATTTTATCTTTAGCGTTAGCGAGATCCTTAGCATATTTGGGTATTTTTAAAAAGCTTTAATATTTAGTAAAAATCGCTTAAAAATAATTGAATAAAATTTAAATTTTTCTTTCTTGAACTTTGCTTAAGTGAATCGTTTAAAAAAAAATATTAAAATATACTTCGTCTTCTTTTCATTTTGTGACTTAATATTAATTTTATTTACTTGCATCTCTGTTGATTTTTACTTTTGCTTAAGTAAAATTGTGTCGATAAACAAGTGTATTAACTTGGGGGTAATTATTACTTACTCGTATTTTCCGTACTGTTTTCCTGCTGTCGTTGCGTATATTAATGGTAACGCAAATCTCTTCGCCATGAGTGTACCAGGCTTTATCTAGGCTGGCTTTTAAACCAACACGACCATCTTGCAAAAGAAATGGCTTGTCAACGGCTCCCTGCGGTCCTCCCCCAGTAGCTGTTATACAATCATACTGAACAAAAAAAAAAAAAAAAAAAAAAAAAAAACAAAAAAAGAAAAGAAAAAAATACATATATAACAACAAGTTAAAGGAAAAAGAAAAAGCAAAATAGAAAGTGAAAGAGTGAAAAAAGCGGAAATTTATTGAAATTAATGGAAAAACAAGTTTACCTCTTGAAATGATTTACTGTAGTTATAAAAGGGATCGCTAGGACATTTCTCCACTTCGCTTTTGCTGCGGCCGAATCGGCTACTAAAACGAAATGATTTCGGTGATAGACGCAATTTGGGAAATGAATCTCCTCTTTCCGATTTACGTCCTTTACCGCTTGAGCGTGTTGTCCTATCATTAAGGTTTAACGCATTCGCTTCGGTGGTGGTAATGGTAGTAACAGTGGTATTAGTATTAGTAGTTGTAGTAGTTGTAGTAGTAGTTGAGTGTACAGCTTTGTCATCATTTCCCAATACATCTGTCAATGCTGTTGCTCTTGACACTGTTGTCGGTTCGTCAGTTATTGCTGTTATTGCCATTGTTGTTGTTGTTGTTATTGCTGTTGCTGTCGCTGTTGTTATTATTGTTGTATTGACGGGTGGTGATGCCACCGGGTTATTAATGATTGTAGCAAAGTTTTCTGGCCCATTTATGCCGTAAACATCAGTACGATATATGACACGCACACCCATTTTCACTGATGCTCTCCTATGAAATTTATCATCGGTCTTATCCGCTTAAAAACAAAACACAGAAAATTAATTAGAAATGCATTATTATTATTCACATGCAAATACCACATTACACAAAAGCAGAATGATGTCAATGAATTGAGATGAATTCAATATGGATTTCCCTTAGGGGATATTATAATTACGAACAAACTTTTCAGATCAGATAGAATAGAATTTATATTCTTTATACTCTTTTCACTTTATGGGTTTTATGGGCTTTTTTTTTTTTTTTCAATTTATTCATTAAACGCATTTCGAAGGAATTTAAAGCAAGCCGGCAGGTGATTCGTTGCTTTGTTTATGATTGACTAGAACAGTCGCACCATACCGATGATCGAACATCCCCGCATGAGGCAAAGAGGGTTGCCTTAATTGATGAATACAACCAATACGATTTATATTTTAAGCTTCTTAACGAAAGCTTACTAATAACTCATTAAAAATTGCTTTATAGTTTTTCAAAATATTCCCCTTTATGCGGTTTGGTATGCATTCGAAGCATTTAACATAATATTTTCCGTTCCATTCGCCATGACACATAATCGAAACAGGATTTTTAAACAAAAATCGTTGTCCAGGCAATTTATTCTTGACGTTCGGTTACGAAACGTAATCATTAGGTGTCAAAATGAGATCTACACCGATTTGGCGAATGATTCATTTAATCGATTTTTTAAGCGTTTAAATGATTGGAAAAACATATGATCAAGAATGATCTGACGGTATTGTTTATTTTCCTTATTTCATCAAAGACTTGCGGCAAACGAATGGTTGAATTGATCATTTTACGCTGCTCTACGGCTACTACCGCTACGTGGTTAGTTCTTCCGTAGCAGAGGCATGCGCTTCGTTTCGAAGTGCTTTGAGCGGAGTTAGTTCATCGTCAAATATCTAGTCGACTATCGTTTATTTTACTGCTTATACGCATAGATTTACAATTCGTCGTTTGTTGCAATGTTCTGTAGGCCTTTTGAAGTACAGTCATGGTGATTCTCAATCAAGAGATGCGACCCTGTTTTTTTTAAGATTTTGTCAAACGTTATATGGAATATAACGAGACCAAGCCTTTTTCATTGTTAAATGTCATGAAACGTTCTATATACGGTGCCGGAAGAAATGCTTAATGCTTAAGGTTACGATGATCTCACAGTATGTCATATGCTGATCATACAATATTGATTTTTCCCATCTATTTAATAGGTCTGAACACTATTGGTCAAGGGTTATTTAGCGTGAAATTTTTTCACGAAAATTTCATTATTTTTCACTTAACGATTTTTCTCAAAATGAGATCTTAGAATGGGTGAAATTCATTTTTAGAAGGGGTCGCTCTTGGACCAAAACATGTTCGCCAAAGTATCTCAAAAGCTATAACTAGCACGCAGACGAGATTGTGCTGAACACAAGAATATATAAACAGATATGGTGAAGACGAACAGAGAGGAAATAACTAAGAGTCACACAGATCTGAACGTTTCGAAAAACCAATCCGGAAATTGAAAGTTTTTGGTAAAACCAATCGAGACTTGACGCGTTTCAGGCTAAAAATGTTTTGTAAACAATTGTTGATGTATTCGTTTAAACGGCCTATTGTCGGTAGAGACTCTTCATCTTCAATTCGTTCTTGGCCTTCTTTGAAAGGTTTTTTTTCTGGCAAAGTCTGTCTACCCCGGGACTTTCTGCAGTATCCTCAATATTTTTGCACATTAAATTTCATTTCGCGAACAAAGTTTAAAGCACATTTTTTGCTCCATCAAATGACACATTGAAGTAATCGGAAAGCACAGCTGAAACACTAATCATGTTTATGATGTCAAATTTGGCAAAGATGTGCTATCAACTTAGAGGAAAAATACTTCTTCTATTCGATAGGCTTGTTGTTGTGCAATTTATATTGAATATTGGTCTTAATGTTGGATCATAGTATCCATTGATAAGTTTATGCTCAAGTGAGATGCAGAAATATAAAAAGAGATAAGCAACGACTAAGGGTATATACGAGAGTGTATTGAGAGTGTAATTGTTGAATTTTAGTGGTTACATGCTGTTTTCACACATACATGTTGCATGTCCTTCCCGAGCACTTTATAGTGCATTTTGAGAACAACTTGAAAGGAAGAAGTCAATCACTTCTATGTTTGATACGGATATGGGTAACATGGTATAGCGCCGGCGAATAAATTGCGTTATTGAAAATGAATTTCGGTACGAAATGCTTTTTAATGTAAAAGATTTTATATTCAAGACGAAGAATGCCTTGCTTTGCTATATTCGAAAGTAATATTTTTGCAACAAAGACAAAAAAAAAAAGAAGTAATTATTTAATTAGGTGAGAGCAAGAAACTAAAAGCCAAAAGTTACGCTTACGCTACGAACCTATATAGACATGGTATATCTAACAGTTTGAAATATGGGCGGGAAAATTAATTCGCTAATGTGAGCAGTTGGTTTCAGTCCGTATATAAATTATTGCATTCAATTGCTTCAACTTTGTATGTCTTTTTATCTATTTACTTATTTTGTGTATCGACATTTCGTTCCTAATTGACATTGAATATTCATTATCAGACACCACACTGAGCAATGCATATGCTTGTGTCTTTAGTTAATGCACAAATAGTAGATATTAGGAGGAAATGGTGGCGGGAAAGAGAAAAGAAAAAAAAAAAATGAAAATAATTCAATTTCAGTCAAACCAAGAAAATAATAATGAGTTTGTTAGTTGTATAGTGCAATATGTTAACTGATTTCTCTTCTCATGTATATTTAATGACTCGCCAAGGTATTAAAGGATACAATTGAATTGTTTGTTGCAGAAAAAACAAGAGCTATCGATTTCTAATATTGCAATACCTGTACCCGTATGTATGACATATTCAATTAAATGATAAATAATCTTAACATTGTAATAAGCTTACCAATAAAGCAGCGTACATCGTAACTCGTGCCAATAGGTGCACCATAGTAACGTTTAGCTGGAACTAATTGCACACTGGGCGGTGCTTGCGATGTTAAAGACAATGTAAACGGATGTGCTCCTTCTCCGAGACGTTTCATTAAAGCGTCCTTCGGAAATAAAAAAATGCAAAAAAAAAATAAAAATAAAAAATAAAAAATAAAAAATAGAAGCACAATGATATTAAGAAGGAAATTAATGTTTCTTTCATAGTCATTAAAGAGAATGATGACTATGTCTGCTCCACACTTTTATGCATATTTGCTGGTAAACGTAATACAAAGTAAATGCAAAACTCTTTCTTCAATAGCTTATTGAAAAAACAAAAAAAAAAACAAGTTTTTTCAGTTTTTCTAAGACGAAAATATAATATTTTTTTATTAGCGATATGTAAGAGTTATAAGGAGGTAATGATTATAAACTTATTTATATATGCGTAGATTCATATTTATATTTATCTACTTATATATTATATATCATTCAATAAGATTGTAGGATGATTATTGATGAATACTTATGCCATAGGCGAATGTTACGCAGATGGGCGGACGGATATGCACATCGACATCTTTAATACTTCTCTACACAGATCCGTAAAAATGTTAACAAAAAAAAATTTCAACGAGAGAAAGGAACGCGAATCTTCGAAAATTTGCGAAAATTCATTCATAGGGTTACATTTCGCATTTCCCCGGCTATAATGATTCCCATGACATATAGGTTTTTACAGGGAAAAAAGATGAAATTTTGTTGTTGTTGTTGTTGTTGTTGTTGTTTTATTTGTTGAAGAAAAACATAGTGCAGAGTATTCGATGGTCGGTTTTAACTCATCCATTCCATTCGCATACAATTTATACACTTTGTTAATATAGCTGTTTGTTTAGCACACTTCCTACATTTTGTTTTCATTCGTGAAGGTTGTTAAAAAAACAAAACTTTGTGAAATATTTGTGTGTGTATATAAGTGTTCTTTAGTAAGTTTTTACGTTTCTTTTTTTCTTCGATATTCTTTGCGTTAGATGCCTGTTGATTGACTATTATAAAAATGTAGAAATTGTTGAATGAACCTCTCCTCTCCTTGAAAACTTTGTAGTTTTGTGTTGAATAAAATTTCTGAATCTATATAGAAGTTGCTTTTGAAATGATTGATAAGTGAGAGCTTTTGACCTAAAAGTATGCGAATGATGCGAAAGTACCTTACTTACTTATTTACAGTGCAGGTTAGTTCTGCTACGCTATCCTGATAAAACTAATTTCACCGTATCGTGCCAAAGCTTATTACGATATCATTGTAATTGCATAAGTTGCTCTTGGCAAGCTTCCCTTATTTAGAGCCGCTTATAATGCGTGCACTGTAACCGTCTATCCCACGGGTCTGCTAATTCTTTATCTAAGCAAGCTAGTGTGACGATTTGATTTGCTACTGACGCGCTCCCGATTTCGCCTAAAGTGTAATGCATAGATAATGTAATCTTTGAATCAACTTCTGTCGGTTAAGACCTGAAGGCTTAACTGTTATACTCTATTGCGTTAAACGAAAACCTACCAACGCAACGCGTGTCTCCACATTTACGTTGTTATTAATGCTTGTACGTGTTTCGAAATGACATTGTAGATATTCTTGTTGTATATATAATGCACATATATATATATATATATATATATATGTAATACTTTCTGTGCGTTATAGTCTCGTTTACTTGTATGAAATGTTATTGAGTCTATGCATGATTCCTTAACGAAAGGTGCATATTTAATTTGCTTTTTTGAAGCTATACTTTATCAACTCGAGCGTGTGCTCATCTTGGAAGCTTAGAGGAATAAAGTCAAAGTTGTTCATATGAAAATTAAAATTGAAGTAGAATTGAGCGCATAATTAACCTCGGTTCCATTATTTCGTTTATTTTGCATATAATAAAAGCAACGGTTATCCGCATGGGTTGGCAAAGGATCGCGACTAACAACTCAAGTGCGGTAGAGTTTTCAGTATAAACGAACATATGATCTAAGTTATCCGGCAGTCTTTAAATTCGAAAAAGGAAAAAAGATGGCCGGCCAAGGTTGACTATTGGACTCTCGACATCAATTCGCTTAATATAATTTTTCATCAATTTCGCGCATAAGATTCTAAAAATTGTGTTCTGCTCTCGTATGAACAGTTACTTTTCATAAGAAAACTTTTACGGGAGGAGAGGCCACAATATAAACCCATTCAGTAGTGCAGATTTATTAAAATTAACGAAGTTTCACCTATTTTCCCCATGAAATACTTTGGACCGACATGATCCAAATCTAACCCATTTTTTTTGCACATTTCTTCAAAATAATTCCCTTTCGTTTTTTTTTTTTTAACAGAGCATAATATAAAAACTGAACTGAATTTCGTCAAAATATTTTCGAAATTGCGATGTTTTGAATTGAATGTAAACCTGTTATGGCCAGACAAGCTTACGTTCCATCTGGATGCCTTCATGGAATTGCGTATATCTTAGTGCAACTCCTTCACATATTTTGCACGGTAAATATAAATATACTTGATCTAGTTAGTCAGAGGTTATTTAAATTCTGAGGTTCCGATCTTCAGATGAAGTCCTTCATTGAAATGCGTATATCCATGTAAAGTCAGTGCAATTTCATCACATATTTTGTAGGATAAATATAAATATACTTAATCCGCTTAGTCAAGGGCTTTTTAAATTGATATCAAAGATAAGGAAAAGTTGTTAAGGAGAAGACATATTTCGACTCATTTCATGTGAAAGGATAAAATGAATGGATGAATTGTTTAACTTCATGAGTGCGGGTCATATTCAACCATTTATGGTCGTCAATAAAATTAAATTCAATTAAAAATTTAATAAAAATGACTTATTTAACTCACCTGCAATGGTGTCAATGTCTCTCTGTGTGGCTCCTCGTTGCGTGGCCATATTTGATGTAAGGACATGATAGCTTCATTGCAAAAACGTAAACCCATTACTTCTTCGTCCTCACGGCCATAACTTGTAATGTAAAGAAGAACAAGAAAAATAAAAAAAAAATCAATTAGTTTTTCTTTGGCGTTTTTTTCTTTGCGCAACAGCGCCGATTGCTTACCGAAATGTTAACGTTAACTGTGCATAGACACGATAGCCTTGTATAGCCTTGGGATCCACGTAAACAATACCTTCAATTATTGCCGGACTATTGCCAGACAATGTTATCTCACGACTCGGTAAATACAATGTCAAAACACAATTGGGTGAAGTTTTTTTGTAAACACGTTGCGTACCCAATTCATCTTTGGCGGTAAATGTGGCTGAAGCGGTGGTGGCGGCAGCACCAGCACCAGCACCAGCAGGAGATCTTTAATAAAAAGTACGATATTAATTAAAATGTATTTACCGGGAAACCTTTGTAATCGAGAAGACAAATTTTCTCAATAATTTTCTTGCCTTGTCCTCTTGTCCTATAGTTTGTGTCTCTATTACAATTCTCGGAAAATGTTTATAAAATGTGTATGCAATCAATTACACTGTTATGCTATTTAAAGTAATTACTTCAGCAATGACTTTGTGACAGATTTTAATTCAATTACTTTTTCGAAAGTCAACCTAATGACTGAACTGCTTAAGTTTGATTTAATTTTCGAAAACATTTCGCTTAAGTGTAATAAATATTTAAATTATTTATTAATAAAAGTTTTCTATTAAATAGTCATTGAGTATAAATGTCTTGTTTTGCCTTTAAATGCTCCAGAATTGTTTAGCTTAGCACTAAACTTTAACAAGGATGACATTTTCATATTTTTTCAAATTTTCAATTTCAAAAAAAAAATAAAATAGAAATGCATTTGTAATGCTTCAAAATTAGTTCGATGACTTTCGTGCATGCAAAGAAAAAAACCTTTCATTATTTGTAATCGACGACATATACGTATTCCTAACAAAAGGGATCATTTTAATCAACGTTTTTTTTTCTAATATCGAAAAACGTTGAATAAATGTTAAGTGATAGCTATAGATGTAAAATCAATTCATTTCAACATTAACTGTCTGCGTATCGGTCAAAAGAGCGAGGATGACAAGGAAGTGATTCTGATGAATATCTGAATGCTAGAAACTTTTCGGCAACACTACATCTTTATGTGAGAGAAAATCGTTTTCTGCCGTCTTCCGCTTCTTCTCTGTACATGTTAATGTCTATGTCGACAGAGAGCATTCGTTTTTTTTTTTTTGTTTTTTTTTAATTTTACTTCTTGATCGATTCGCGCTAAATGTCAGTTATCCACCCACTATTCCACATATAATATAGAGTCAAAATGATCTCTTTTGGTATAAATAGGTTTTTGCAAAATTTCGATAGTTCTCTAGTGTTAAGCTTTAATAAAATATTAGACATAATTAAAGATGAGCAAAATATTTCCAAATTGATTTTTTGGCTTTGAATTTGAATGCAATTCAAAGGATTTTATTTATTATTATTATTCGTTTGTATCATTATTATTAGATAAAGAAATATATATTCTTGAATAAAAATAAGATAACATTTTGGAATTTATTATGAACTCAGTAAATAAGATTAAGCCGCAAAAATTGGGTCAACATTGAATTATCCAGCCAATGGTCAAAATCATCTACACAGATTTCTCTGTTACTATAACAAGTAAATGTAATTAGCAGCATTCTAAGTTATGACTAAGTAATTGCCATTTTCTTTTCTTTGAAATGCCAAAAAGGATATGAAGTGCCCTTTACTTAATAATAATCATCGCAATTATCATAAAGCACGTATTATAAATTTGTATAGAGAGAGAGAGAGAGAGAGAGAGAGAGAAAAAGAGAAAGAATGAAAGAAAGGAAGAGAGAGAGTTGACTGAGGCTTTGCTTAATCACATTTATCAATGAATTTCAATCGTAATTAACTAACGACCAGAGCATCTGTCGCCTTCGACTCTCTCGACTTGAGCGATGCGTTCCCAAACGAAACACCAACTTTATGCTAAGGAAAACTAGACAATGAAAACGAAAAACTAAATTTTCATATTTCAAAATAATGGATGGGCGTGGCTGATTGTTAACATCCCTATTTGGATACAGGTGGATTTTTATCATAGGTCTCTTAGAGTTTACGAGTAATGAGCAAAAAACCTCTGAAAGCTGTGGTGCTTTCAGTTTACGTTGCATTGTAGGCGACCAAGAACCTGCAACTTATTTCCGCTAGATCTAAAGTTGGTATCGTAAATTTCTAGCTGATGGTGACCGCAGATATTACCAGACATACGTAGGGGAGAGATAAGCTTGCAAACTCGTTTAAGCGGATTGCGAACTTGATGCTGATCGAAAATATCCTTACAACATGATTATTACATAGGTAGTAAAAAAAAAAAACAACGAAAGCTTAATTCACTATAATACTGGGGGAGCGTGGCCGCTTTTATCCACGGTATGGCAGTCCCTAGAATGTTTCTTCTACGTAATACTGTAGGCATGTCTTTCGACCGACTTCTCTCCATTTCAATACCTATCAACCTCTATCTACAAGAACAACCACTGTAATCTGAAGCCAGAACATATTTACTGCACCCATTACATGGACGAATGTCTTAGATCGATTCAAAATTTACGAAAAACATTTGCCGGAATTTCTATAAGAAATCACGTATATACGTAGAATATGATTAAATGACTATATGTAGTCTAAGGCACTCCGACTTGTGATGGTCATTATAGTTGATATATGTCGGATTGTAGCCATCGGATGTTAGCTTAATCGGGAATACTTTCTACGGTATTTCATTTGATTTACTGAAAGGGGTTATAGTTATAAACTTAGACTTACACGTATTTATATGGGAAGAAATGTGAAAGGATATATCTCTGCAGCGAGAAGCCGGGACGTTCAATTACATTGAAGAATTTCAAATTCTTGATAGAACACGACACGGCAATTTATTTGCACTCCTAATATTCGAGATGAATAGTTAAATTTCAATTATAATTCACATTAAAAATGAGTTACTAATAATTTGGGGATTATTTCGGCTTAACGCAGACAGAGAGAGAATAAAAAAAGAGAACAGATTTAAACTTAACCAAATTACATTATAAATCTGTTTATATTATACTTACCGATTATCAAGTGTAAGAATCTGTTTACGAGTGTACAAATGATTTCGAAAATACATATATATTTATATATATATGTGTGTGTCTTATAATTATAAATTCAAATAGCAGTAATTCCTTGTATATATTACGATACGCAAGAGCATATGAATGTTTTCTTGAATGTTGCTTTTAATACCATTTGATGTTTAATGTTAGAGAAAATATTTTCTTTTCATGCGAATATTATAATTAAATTTTAATCTTAATTAATTTAGTTTGCCGAAGACTGTTAATACTTATTACATCGCGCTTAACTTTTAATACTTCTCTTATACTATTAAATGACTTGAACTATTTTCAATTCATTTTTTTTACTTGCAATAAATAAATTCAAATGCACTCACTTCCAAATCATTATATTCGTTGTTTTCTTTCTCTTTCTACTAACGCATAAATAAATTAATTTATTTCTCTCTTTGTAAATTTTCTTGTTTCCATTTCATTATATCAGCTTGCATTGCTAATAGTATTTTACACTTCATCAACTCCATAAAAACAAAAATCAACAAAAAATTAACCAAAATATTATTTTACTTGCATTTATATATTCATTCGTAACTTAAATTATCCGAGAGATATGAAATCATTTTACCATAATACGCCTTCGGTGATAGAATATAAAAAGAAAAAAAAAACAAGTAAGAAAATTATGTTCGGTCATGATCGAATCTTTGGCTATAGCCATCACCGTTATCATGGGGTGGGTGTTTTGGGTGGTAGCGACCGATTTTTTCTTTTTTCAAAATTAAAGTGAAAATTTATATAGTGTATGTGTGTGACAGTTTATGAGTAACAACTGACAAACACGGAAATCAAAGGTGCCCACAATTTCTGTTTTGCTCAGATGTGTGAGCGTTGTTGGGGTCATTTTCACTTCTTTTTTTTTTCCAATTTGTTGGGCAGACGGACAGACGGACCGATGGACAGAAGAATAGATGGGCATGCTTAGATGCATTCCCAATTTGAAACTGGCCAACACTTTTATATATGGGGTATTTTAGGCGGTTCTTGAGACTTATTTGTGCCCGTTATAAAGGTATTATTCTTTTTGAAGTATAGAGGTGCTCTCAGTTCATATAATACTGTGGGCGTATGCGTCGACAGTTTTGCCTCATTTTCAATACCAGGCTGCGTGCCAGAAATCGAAGTAAATGACTCCCGGACATTACGAAGGCGGATTAACGAACGTTCTTAAATCGGTTTAAAATTTGATGTTGATCACGAATTATCTATGGGGTCTCTTGATCTTTGTTTTGGCCGTCGCAAATATTTTAACAAAGTTAAACTCCTTTTTGGTCCTTTCTAAACCTGCGATAAACCTGAACTCATTGGAGGGGACAAAAAACCGAATTATGATAGAAAAGTAAAGTAAGGCTTTTAACATTTAACTTGATTTACTTAGTTCTGTGTATTCGAAGAATTTCACCTCATGGGGTTTAATTGCAAGCAATCTTTTATTATAGTAAAATTTTTTTTCCTTTTCCTTTTTGTTTTTTTTTTTTTTTTTCTAACTGCACAACTTTTTTACAAACGATAACCTTCTGTATATAAGACTAAATAACCTTCGATTTAAAGGTTAATTTAAAGGTATTCATTGCTATCCACATTGTTGTGATATTTTTTAAGTTTCTTTATTAGGAGTATTGTTTTTTTTTTTTGCTCTTTCAAAATCCCACAACTCATCGAATGGTTATCCATAAAAAAAATAAATTGAAAGACAGGAAAAAATAGAAAACGATAGTGTTCAGACATTTGTTCGTGAGAAATGTTGAATAGAAATTTACTGTGTGTTTAGTCACGCGAAGTTTGGCGAAAATTTTTGCAAATGACATTGACAGTTGATAAGATACAGTTGATAACAAGTTGATATCAAGGTAGACAATTTTGATTTAATATTTTATTTCATTCTTATTACATAGTTATCAACGTACAATTAATCATAAATTCTATATGTTGCTGTAATCGATTTTCATGATCTACTTAGTCTATAATGGATAGTAAAAAAAAAAAAAAAAAAAACAACAAAAAGTGTTCGTTTTTAAATTTTGTCTGTCTAATAATAATTCTATCGTATTAGGAGATATTCAAGATAATCACTTAAGTCTTATCACACGGAAACTTTTCATTTTTCGAAAGCTCAGCACTTGGCAACTACTTTTCGTCCTATTCATGTTACATTGGCTCAATTTACATTAT